GATATGACAAATCAAAAAATTTATACGATACGGCAAGCTGGGTAAATTTCGGGCAAGCCAAATAAACAGTTAGATGGGAGATCTCTAATCTCACCCAATGTGGCAAACAACAATTGAACTGGAGCTCCAGAAAGCCATACAAAAGGCCAGGCCAAATATTATCAGTGAAACGCGCTCCACAATCTTCAACACCTTTTGATGATCTAATAAATGCGACATGATTTTCAAAAACCACAAAAAACGACCCAAAGAATTGAGAACAACAAAATAGAGAGCAAGGGGGAAACACACACGCTGACGAAAACATCGTGAACCATGAGAAGGCCATATACGAGTACTAAGCCCCCTATATAGGAATACATACATCATCATCGTCGTCACATCATCATCATCATCATCATCATCATCATCATCATCATCATCACCATCAGCATGAGGAACATACATATATAGTTCAACTGGCACTTGGACAAACAAGGCGATAAGACCCCGCGACCAGAGCACAACACTTGAGATACAAGAAATCACGTAAAAAGGAAACTGAAACTGACTTAAACTGACTGAACCTCGAGCTGAAACTAAAGCAGCGCAAAGCGATGCAGATACAGATACTGATAGGCCATCATAAATGTTTATCTATAAGAAATGTGACGAAAAAAGAGCGAATAAAAAGGGTGGAATGGGAACTGAACTAACTATTACAACTAGGAATAGGTTTACCCCAAAATAATCCATCTTTGCAAAACTATAATCAATCTGGAGTTATAGCTTCACAGAATTGGGAAACGTCGCGTTTGTATTTAGCTTGTAATTTTATGATTCGAACCATTAAACTTGTTCCCATTAACTATGTTGACACATTTTTGGTTTCACGACGTGTAGGGGTCACAAATAATACTTATTATGCCCTCTAATCAATAAACCTCGCAATCTCCGACTATCAGATATAATAGAATAGAATGGAGCGAAGCAAGAATAAACGGTGGAGGGTAAATAAAATAGTCAGCCATTGAAGAGGCTAAAGCGAATCGAACTCGACACAAAATCGGTTCAGGGTCTTGTGTCGTAGATAGACCGATTCGCTTCCATTCCCGCTGCCCTGATACCACAACCCGAACCTCAGCCAGAGACCCTATTTATCAGCGTGCTTCAGTATTACCTTCTTGACTTACTGATACTCCTATGTATTTGGTTTATTTACTCTTCTTACGAAACAAGTCGGGAACAAAGGTTGAACCCTGTCGTTCCTTTCGAGGAGCGGGCGCGATAACAACAGCGCAGAGTTTGCATAAAGGGCAAGGGGGAAGTCAGCAGTCAGAAGTCAGCAGTCAGCTGGCTGGTCCGGCGCTTGTTTGATTTTCAAATGAGGTCAAAAGAAATAATAAAATTCGGCTGATAAGCTGCACTCCCCATTTGGACCCTCCACACTCTGCCCTGTAAGTTAATCACCTATCGATGATTTCTTGCGTCAGAGGTTATATGATTTTTTTTTTTTTTTTTTTGGGATTTTTTCCCAAGGTCTAGACGGTCGAGTATGTGACCCTTCAGCGGCAGCTGTGTGGATCGAAAATCTATGGCAATTTGTCGCAATTATTGCCACTAGTACACTAGTAATTTTACTTGCTGCCAATATAATGAAAAATGGTCACATGACAGGTCAACACGGCAGCTGTGTTTGCCAGTATGCCGTATACGTAAACGTAAACGTATACGTATACGTATCGCACCAAATGGCAATGAACTTTACCGCTCCCAGAACTCTGTGCACCCGCCACTTTCTATGGTGTGAACGTGAACATGAACGTGCTCGGTCGTAAGTTTTCGATGTCGGCGTCGTCTATTAGTACTATTGACACTTGCCGACCCAGCGGCGACCGAAATGCGGCCTGTCACCGTGCGGATCGCTCACAGATACTCAGGTATGAGCACGGTGGGGGAAAAAAAAAACATAACGTCCGACTGGAAAAAGTCAACAGTGTCGCGCATGGCACATGTTGGGTCGAGGTTTCTATACCCCCCCATATCTCCCCCTTTTCCCGTACATCTCTATCGGGTCCGCCTTCTCTCATCAACATCGTCATCGTCATCGTCATCGTCATAATGATCTTCGGCATTCGACATTCGGCACTTAGCACCATTGGCACCAAGCGATGCCAATCAGGGGTCTTTGGGGAGCTGAAGCTCGCTGACCGACCGAAATGGGCAAACGATAGCGGGCACAGTGGGTCGAGGGTATCCAAAAAAAATAAGGACAACTTTGTTTCCAAATTCACGAAAATATATGTGACAGATATAAATGAAAATAATTCCTTATCTCGATCATCGCCAGAATTATATTCCTATATGCTTTATAACAGATAGAATAATAATCGTGCAGATTTGCATTATACCTCCCTCGAAAATGGAGAAGCGGAATTTATTTAGTTGGAAAACGTCAAAATATATTCCTTAAAATCCAATATTTCGCCAATCTAATCATTGATAAGCATTTTGTCATATTTATAAAATGGGAACTGGGTTTTAATGCTAATGATTGTTATAAATGAAATACAAATTGGTAGAGTCGCGAAATTCTCTTTAAACTAGATTTTTTACTTTTAAGATTTTTCATTAGAAATAATACAAAGGGATATTTACTGCATTTGACAGACGCAAACACAGCTACAAAAAAAAAGATATTTTCAAAGCACAAACAAAATCACACAAATTTGTTATCTTTTAGAAAGAATGCGTTAAATGATTTCTTTCAACGTATACAAATATTTTATCTCATCTTTTTTTAATTCGAAATCCCAATTTTCTAATTCAATCGTGTAGATCGTATTAAAATCATATTGTTAATAATTATAGTTTGTATATTTTGTAAAATTCGCAGAACTTAAATCTAGATGAATCCAAATAAGCTTGTCATCCACTGTTTAACCACTTTAGGGCGGTTGGTTTTGGTTTCTTTCTATGTTTCATTATTAACCCACAACTTAATTTCTATGCTAACCAATAATAAACTTAATTTTATGATAACGCATGGACAACTTATTAAACAGCATACATATAAGCTATTTCGGGCTCGAATATGAAGGGTGAAATTTGATATAAGGCAGATCGGCAGGGAGCTTTCGTTGTTGTTGACCAAACCCAATGCAATTCCGAGCCACGATTCTGGTTCTGTTTTGATTCGGGTTCCGATTGTGGGGATCGTAACGAGCTTAAAACTACAAATTGTTGTTAATTTCGCTTGTAAATATTTCATTTAATTATTTATGCTGTGTGCTTTGGCTGCCAAACATGCGACCGAGTGGATCTGGCACCAGGTTTTGGGTACTAGTATGAGTATGGGTATGGGTATGGCTTACTGTCTGTGTTTGGGATTGGGACTGGTGTGGCTTCCATCAATTTACACCTGCTGGCTGAGAGGGTTTCGATAGCTCGCTTATCCCCTGTCCTCCACCTGGCCGACCATTACCTCGCAGGTAAAGGTCATTGCTTGTGCACGCATTGATACACGTATTTGCTTTTTAATTTTTGCCAGTTAAATTACAATTAAATTGTTTATGTGGCCTAACAAAAATTGGGAATATAAACTTAGGTAAATAAAAAAAATGCCCTGCCTTTTGTGGGGGAAGTTAAAAAGCACCATAAAATTTTGTTTGAATATCTTTGTGTTTCTACTTTTATGTATGGGTACCCTTTTGTGCAGAAAGTAAAATTAAGACAATGGTTTTGGCTTAAAAATTAACTATCATCCAATTGGTTGGATTAACTTCAAGTAAATACACTATTAAATTTATAATTTAGTTTTTCTGGAATTAATGTTGTGCTGAATTCTTGGTTTTTTTAAAGGCCCTTATCCCAAAAAAGAATTAGAAAAACAAAGATGAAAATTATAGAAACAAATAGAATTTTGATGAGTGGGAAAAAAGTTTGGAAACTGAACTTAATTGAATTCCTATCATCAATGACAACTCTTTTTTGAAAACTCTCATTTAACCCCTACATAGGTTCCCTTATCTCCAAGTTAAATGCGTACGATTGTTGCTACCACCTAACTCCCCATTTCATTGTCTGGGTTTGCTGCTGTTTGTTTGTTTAATGATTGTTTTTTCCGGGCTCTGTAACTGTTCGAATCGCACTCTGCCGTACTGTACGCAGCGTTGACGTGCACTTCGCGGCCCCTGGCTCACCCCGATAATTAGCTTAAGGGTTCAACGATGCAGGTCAATGGTTTTGTTAACATATTATAAGTTATTTTAACCTTTGGCCGATTTGCATGCGACGCAAGCCTCAAGCTTTTTACACCACAATGTTTTTGGCTCAGTCTATGGGTGCGTGCCATTGCCGAGTGTGTTCTTATGTGTGCTTCTACTATAAGTTTGCGTGTACAGTTAGAATTTCAATTTCGAAAAATTTAATATTAAATTTTAAATAATTTATTTTTGTATAATACGAAAATTGAATACTGGTGAGTTTTTTTAAATAACTAGTTTTCAGGCCAGTAAACTTTGAATTTAAATTAATTATTTATAGAGCCTAATATCAAAAATTTGTTTTCTTTATATTAAGTAACCATCCAACCAAATTATTTATTGCTTAATGAATTTATTACTTCGATCGAGTATAGGCAAAAGTATGATCAAATAATACAAATTCCAAATAAATTTACACATACATATAACATTTTTTAAAATTATTGTAAAAAAAGTTTGTTCTTTGTTGTATATTATGTAAATAAAGTAAGTAAGTAGTAAAGTGTTAATACGAATTTATGTCGTAATATTTAATCCCCACTTTTATAAAAAAAATGTACACTTATAAAAAGTTGTATTAGTTTTTGTTTCAAAGTTTGCCAGTCCTAAAAATGTGTTAAGATTCGAGGTAATGTAATAGACTTATTGAAATTAAAGCAAAACCTCTAGTTAAATTTAAATTGAGTATTCATATACATAGTTTATATACATAGTTCACTCCTCGACTAACTCACACTCTATTTTGTCCAATTGTAGGTAACGCACCCACCGACATACTGCAGCAGAAGCCAGCCAAGGCCACCACCGCCATTGTGGGCGGTCGCAGCGCAGCCCAACCGGCGACCCACGACGACCAGCAAGCGGCCACGACCGCCACAGCCACCAAGCGGAAGCACCTCGAGCGGCTGGCCAGCGATCTGCGTCAGCTGGGCCAGAAGGGCAGGAGAAGCTCGGAGAGTCCCGTTTCATCGTACCCCTCGATTGCGGCTACTGCCAAAATGCTAAGCGAGCGATCGCTGCTGCTCAGCGGATATGGGGCCATCGAGAGTAACGCCAAGAAGCTGAGCGAAGCGGCCACCGGTGGGGCGGGTGGCGGGGTGGCGGTTAGTCAGGCCGCCACGCCCTCCCTGGGTGCTCCCGCCTCGGCAGCCTCTTCCTCCTCCTCCTCATCCTCATCCGCCTCCTCTGCTGGTAACACCGCCTGCACCGCCAATGCGAACACTGCATCCGTGGCTGCTGCCTATGCCGCTCTGTATTTGGAGAAGGTCAAGCATGAGAAGTTGTCGCCGCTGCAGATGGACAATCACAAGGATGCGCCGATGGTCACAATTCACAACAACAACAACAATAACACCATTAACAACAACAACAGCAGCAGTAGTAGTAGCAGCATTAGCAACAACCATCAATCCAGTCAACAGCCACATCCACATCATATGGGCCACAGCGTCAAAAGGGAGCGGCTCAGTCCAGGCAGCAACAGTAGCAGCCACAACGGCGAACTTACTGTCAGCTCATTTGCCAGGTGAGTGTGTGTGTGTGTGTGTGGAGGGATTTTACCCAAAGTTGATTCATTGATTTATTGAATCACAGATTCGTGATCACTACCTTGATCCATTGACCTCTTTAAAACTGATTCACCTCACAAGCTTTGTTAATTCCATCACTAGAGACACTAATCATGACAATATATTGAAGATTTCTAGACTTTTTTTTAAAGCTTTTTCGAAACATAGTTTGGATATTGTTAAAATATCACTTTTTGAATTGTTTTCAAAACAAAAAGGTCCTGTGACAGATGGCGCCAGCAATTCTATTTACACGGCAAACTATAAATTCGAAAAAAAATAAAAATAAAAATAAAAAATAATAAATATAAATTTGTAAAAAAACATACAGGACTTCCTGCAGTTACGTCATTTATAACGTTTAGACATCAACTTCTTCATAACTTTTGAAATAATACCTCGATTTGGTATGTTTTTTGAGTGCCAGTCTGCAAGTTAAATCCCAAATCTTTAGATCGTTTAATACGGTGTTTACTTAATTTATAGCGTTAAATCAAACGGAAACAATTACAAAGTTAACAAGAATATTATAAACTGTCTCTACTTGGGTTCTTTTTGATCTTCGTGATCCTTGTGATCTTCATCCTCGGAACTCTCCATGTGGCACCGTTCACTGTGTTCAAGCATGTTATTGTAATGTTCCCGCCGCATTTCCAAGAACCTCATCCTGCGCCGGAGTCGCTGCTCCGCGGTTTCTTCAGCTAGGTTTTCACTTTCGATCTCCGGCAACGAAACGATAACTGAGGGAGCACTTGAGATTTCGGGTCTGGGGGTGTTGATGGGTCGCAGGATGGACGGTGATATGCTAACAGTGCCAGTGGCAATGGAATCATCAGGGTTGGGATCATCCTGGCGAAGATCGCCCAACTTCTCAGGCACTTCATCCTTATCCTTGTCAGACATATTCTGGAGACTTGATACAAATATTATTTGGTACTTATCCACAACAATTTCAAAGCCATGTTGATGTTGATTCGGAAAAGAGATAGATTTCCCCTCCGAACTCGTTTTCTGGACTATTTATCAAGCGATTTCGACGGCTGTCGACGCCTGACAAATTAATTAACATTTTAGTAAATTAATACCTCGAAAAGAAACCAAATCGATGTGGCTTCTGTTCGCAGGCCAAAGCAAATTAATCAAAACCAAGAAACAAAAAGAAACGAACACGAATGTGTCTACACAAGAGCACGCTTCTGCTGTCAAAAAAGAGGCAATAACAAAGAACCCGCCAAGAGAAGCAAAGAAAAACAACTTGAAAAACTTGAAATGTAAATACAAATAAGACAAAAAATTAATAAGCCACAGACCCCAAGACTGTGATACAGACAAAAATTGATTTGACAAGCCAAATCAGCAGCAATTAATACGCGCAACTAAATTAATGGCGTTAAAGATTATATATTAACTAATATAAACAAAGGCAATTTATCTCCCAATAGCAGAGTAAAAACAAAAACCAAACATGAAACCTAAACAGGCCTTAGGCCTTAGGCCTCAACACAGATGGATACAAAGATACTAGTTGGGCGAACGAATGGCTGGCCATATTAATATTAATGAGACATGCTAGTCTATCGCCACCTGAGGTGTGGACGTTCAGCCACGATAGATTCGGGTTTAACATATTCGATTGGCATCTCGACGTGGGTTCCCCAACTCCGCTCGGGGTGGTCGTCTGAAAAGATTGGATAAGCCGCATAATATTCATAATTATTAATTGTTTATCTACAAATTAGGAAGGCTTATTAAGGCAACATGCAGGCGCCTTAATACGATATGACAGTTGAATGCTCTAGGGCTGGGCCAAGATCTGCTTTGAAGACTATGTTAATATGATAAATATGTTTGAGATAGTCTGGGAATCAATGCAAATTTAATGCGAATACTCACCTGTCGAGCACTTCTGATCAAATGTCCCAAGTTTTCAGAACTTGATTCTCACCAGTCCCATTCACAAAAATTCGATCCTCTGTCTAGTTCATTCAGCTTATATTTGACCTTTTAGTGGTGCTGCTTTTTTATTTATTTGATTATTTGCATATTAAAACTATAGTTGTAAAAGGTTTAGAACACTTAAGAGTGGAATTTCTAATTCTGTTTTTGCCTATCCAAAAGGGTGCAGTATAACAAATAAATACATTTTTTTTAGGTCTTTTGTCTTTTCATTTTTTGCTTTGCCGAACTTTTCGTCAACAAGTTCTCTTTTTGAGCTATGTATATAAATCGTATATTAATTTAATCGCATTCAGACAGTGCGTTTCAAAATTTAAAAACAAACACTCTTTCTAATTTGATTGATTTTAATTTACATTTTATATATTTTATTGTTTTTCGGGTTGCTTTTTTTTGGGCTTGATTATTTGCTGGATAATCGTTATCTATGGAATTCTGGCTGTAAACTGTGCTTGAGTTTCGAACCGCACTGTATTCACAAACATTTAACTTTTTAGGGACACATCGGGTCTTGTGTAGGCGTAACAATAGACACCATTTGCATACCGAGGCGGGCACATGTTGTCGGTTGTATAATAAAAACCAATTAGGCATGCCACCGATCCAAAGATCTAAGCCAACCAAACCGTTAGACACACATCGAGATTGGGTGAAGTCGGGGAACGAGGATCGTGGCACGGGGATCAGTAGCAGTAGCCAACATAATCGCCACTATAAACCATTTTTTCATGGCGTTTTTTCTTGCTTGATCTGTTTGCTGTTCAAACAATTGCCAAGAACAAGCAACAAAACACAACTAAGTAGCTGCTACCAATCGCCAAAGCAATTTGCAATAATCAACATTTTTAACAAAACCAAAAAAAAAAAAAAATTACTAAAAAAGATACAACAAAAAAAGGAGACAAAAAAAAAGAACAACAGAGTTGTAAGCAGCAGAGGCAACAACGAACCGGCGAACGAACAAAATAACAGCAACCAAAAACAAAAAATCGACAACCAGCAGATCACGATAAATCAATGGCAACAACAACAGGAACACAGGGAGCCAGCTGAGTGGGCAGAAGGCGGTACAGGGGGCGGTGCAGTGGGCGGGGGAGCGGTACGGGGGCTGGGCGGCAAGCTGCTATATATAAATTTGTGCCGCAGCCTCCGAAAGAGCGACACGACATGACCAACGACCAACGACCAGCGACGACGACGTGCAGCACGAGTTACTCTCTTCTGGTCCGGCCATGCCACAACCACCTAGCCATGTGCCATGCAACCAGTGGTGACCGCCAGTTGGCTATACAAAAGGTTAGGATAATAAAAAATAAATAGAACATTAAATTAACAATTTGTCAGCAGATTACAAAATGTGTTTTATACAAACTAGAGCGTAAACCAAAAGAACATTTTAAAGTTATTATTTTACAACTGCAGTTGAACTAATAAAATAACATTTAAAAGTATTTCAAATACAATAGGGTCAAATAAGCTTACATTTAAGTAAAGTATTTAACTTTTACAATTGCTATTTATAAACTTAAAATTTTTAAATAACTTGTAATTCCTTGGTTTTACTGTACTTTGGGCTAGAGTAATTTCTTTAATTCAATTTAGAGAGAGTAATGTTTGTTTACCTTTTACAATAACTATTTTTTAGCTTCTAATTTTATATTTGATTGTTTGACCATGCTTCCTTTTTTTTCGAATTTAAAGATTATATTCTTATTCTCTCTATTATCCCATCCATATAGATCGGTTGATTATTTAAAACTTTATGCATACTATTGATATAACTACTTATTTTTCATGAGTTTTTAGTAGTAAATAAAATTATAAATATTTTACAACAAATTAATTGCATTAAATGCACAAATATCCCAACCTATTCTACATTTTTGTAAGTTTTCATTTTTTTAGATCAAACGTCACTGGCTTTAATTAATTTATATAATTATAATTTTACAAAAAAAAAAAACAATGATTTTGAAATTTCACCCTTAGAAAAAAGTAATTTTTGGGGAATGCAAAAGCCAAACTGGCACCTCTGGTGGCATGCAGCACAACGCTTTGGCGTAGCTGAAATAGAGGCAGGCACTTGCAGCTGCCACTGGCTGTGGCATGGCGCGGTTTAGGAGGTGACCGCTGCCACTGCCGATCTGGCCAGAAATCTATGCTGATTATTTTCTTTTCGGCCAGCCTTGCCTTGGTTTGCCTTGGCTTGGCTTAACTTGGCTTGGCTTCTTGGCTCGTGTTGGAGAGCTCTGGGAATGGCTAATGGGTGGATGTGGATGTGGATGTAAATGTGAATGTGGAAGCAGAGGAAACCTACGACTGCGCCATGTTGGTGGCATGTCTTCGGCGGTAGTTGCATATGAGTTATGGCCATGCCGGCCAGATTGTAGCCCACAAATGCTCGACATTGGTTAACATGAATTGTTTCGTTTCGATCCGAGAGCATCCAAAATGAAATTGTTTGGAAAATGTTTTGCGATCTTCTGAACAAGATTGAAAATAACCAAAAGAATTATGGGCAGATAACCAAGAACAAGGTCTTTAAAGGAAAGAAACGAATTATAACTCTTGGAATGATAGAATTCATTTTATTCAATCTTTTGTTTATATTTTATTGTATTTTTAAATATTATTGTTGAGAATAAATCAGAGAACAAATGAATATACGCAAAGTAATTGTTTACCTATCCATTATTTCAATATCCGACAGTTACCGGTCTTCAGTTTAAAAATCCAGTCTTAATTATAACATGGAGAGAACTCTCCCAGGCTTCTCACCTGGATACCAGTTGTTGGACTCCTTCCGCCAGGCAACTCCTTGGAAAACAGTTCCCATGTCAAATCGCATTCGTAATCGCATTATGACCAACGCCTTGGCACTTCTACAAAGAAATTAACTAAATATCAAACGTCCACATGATGTAGATCGCAGGGGCACCTGCTTGAAATTCTTGGAAGATTTTTTTTTTAAGAGAAGAGAAGATCTCACGGAAGCCACTCATTAGCATGTCAAATAAGCCTGGAGAACTTGGTTCAGACGGAGAACTCACAGAATGACAAATAATCCAATTGTATGCGACACCTATTCGGTCGAGAATGAATAAGCACTCTAGATAATTAAATATTAATGCAAATTTAGGATTGATCATGGACTAGAATATAGTAAATTTATCACGCTGATGTCACACTCTTCCACTTATGCAAAACCTGCTAAATGTTCCTCTTAACATAACTAATCCATAAGTTTTTTAAAATTTTTGAATTTTTTTCTTCACAGATCTCGCAGCGCCACACCCTCCTCGTCATCTTTTCGTGGTGGCGGCGGTGGTGGTGTCTCACCCAGCCAGCAGCAACAACAGTCCCAGCAGCAACAGCAACAACGCCTAAGTCCGCCCAGTGGCCCAGCAACGGCAACAACAACAACAACAGCAACATCATCATCATCATCAACAGCAGCAGCCACACACATGCCGCTGCACAATTTGTCAACGAATTTGCTAAATAGCATTCAGCAGGCTGCTGCCAGTCAGCAACATCGCAACAGCAGCAGCAGCAACAGCAACAGCCACAGCAGCAACACCGCCAAAACAGAGGCTGCTGCGGCATCGAATGCCACGGATTTCTCCACCCGCAACTATTCGGACATAATGCGATGCCTGGCGGCCAAGTACAACAATACAAATCCCAATGAGTAAGTTTTGGGGCTGACCTAAAATATATTATTATTCTTTTTTTAGTATTGGCCCTCACCGAGAGAAAAACATGGCGCAATTGCGTTCAATGGGCCATAAATATAACTTTTGAAAATAACACCGCAATTAGTAAAAGAATTGAAGTTAATTTTTGCATTATCTTAAAGAGCAATTTATAATTTCTTTTCATATCTTTAATAAGAAATTAAAATTTAAAAAATAACATTTGAAAAACGTTACTTGAATTGTATGTTAAATTATTTCATTTTTTCTTAATATTTTTACGGCGGTGTTTTTCACATTTTTTTTTTTGTGTCCATATTATAAATAAAAGACATTAGTAAGAACATAATTCTAATGCAAAACATAAAATTAAACCTGTAAAGCACAATATAATCACTTTTTATAGTCTTTTTTTTTTAATTTAAAGACGGCGATCTCGCATTTTTTAACAACTTAAACGCAAAAACATTTTAATAAATCTGTGAAGCAAAATAAAGATAAAAGTAAAGACTAAGAAATATTCCAAATATTGATATATTTTTTTAAAATTAATCTATAATTTTTTGATGCAAGAGAATAACAAGAAATACTCTTAAATTTCTGAATTTTGAAGCAATATTTAACTCACTCAATCTATATTTTTTCCGGTGCAGCAACAATGCAACACGACGCAATTCCTACTACGACAGCAGCAACAGTGGCAGCTCTTCGACGGCCACAGGCAGTGGGGGAGGTGCGGCAGGGGGAGGGGCAACCTCTGCCCCAACTTCCGCCCTCAAGTCGGCCAGCAGCAGCAGCACCAGCAACAGTGGCACCTCCACCTCGGCCACTGCCAAGAAGCTCTCACCATCGGCCTCATCGGCTGCGAATGCTGCTGCCGTAAGTCTGCCCAAGGAGGCCAAAGTGAGTGGGGCCGGTGGTGCAGGTGTGGGTGGTGCAGCTTCCACTGGCGGTGGTTCCTCGCTGTCTCAGCTGGCCCCGCCCCCCGCCGCCCCATCGCCCACGGAGCAGGCCAAGAGCCAAATGGCCGCCGTGGTGGCTGCAGCGAGTGTCTCTCCGTTTATGACCAACTTTCTGCCCTTCTCGTCCGGCATTTATCCGCCACTGATAGACATGAGCAGCACTCAGGCACTACTGACGCTGGTGAGTACTTCAAATCAGTTTGTTTCCTAATAAAGCAAAAGCGAGTAGTAATACCCGAGGACCACCCAACATGTTAAGCCATTAAAAGGGGCTCTTCATTAAATGGGCACCTATTTATGCATCTTGATTTTAAGAAAGCTACATGTACAAGGTTAAGCGTCTTTACATTTATTTTCTGAATATTATGTTAAGTTTATCTGACTTAAACCATAAACTATGTTCTATTTAAATTTAGTATTTGGTTAGAAAAAAGAAAATAACGTAGAAAAGTTTTCCTACTTTTCCTTTTTAGTTTTAGCAGTTTTCAATTTATTCCGCGTTGGGAATGGATAATTGTATTTTCTAACAATTTGACTTCATATTGATAGATTAAATACTACAATCGTTACATAATATTGAGAAATTAGTGCTTGAACTTTTTTATTTGCATTAATAAAATAAAATTAACAATCGATCTTTTATAACTCGATATATCTTAAAGTCGATTTAAATATTATAATAATATATAATATAGTATAGTATAGGAAAATAATATAGAATAGGAAATATAGGAAATATAATAAAGTACAGGAAAAAGTAAAGGATAAATTAATTTAATATCCTAAAGTTAAATAATTCTGACGACTTTTGCAAAATATATATTTTTAAGAGGTCTATATAATTTTTGCATATTGGTCATATTTAGTAGATCGCTCAGCAAATGTTAAATGAACCTCCTATTATTTTAGCTTACCATAAGGAAGAATAAGCTTCGTTAATGAATGTAACCATTTTTTTTTGAAAACTTTGTTTAAAACCCCTTCTCTTTCTTTGTTCGATTTCAATCTTTGTAGGCGCGTGCTGTCAAAGATGCCGAAATCCAGGAGATTCTGCGCAGCAAGCAGCAGCGCTCCGGTTCGAATGCCTCGTCGCCGAGTGCGAGTGCGACGGGCACGCCACGATCCAGTTCCACTCTGAATGCCGCACTGCATCAGGCAGCCCAATTTGTTACACCCGCTCTGATCTACTCGGCCCAACTGCAACAACAGCAACAGCAGCAACAGCAGCAGCAGCAACAGCAGCAGCAACAACAACAGCAACATCAGCGACAGCAGCAACCGCATCACGCTTCGCGGCAGTCTAGTCCACGTTCCACCAACGATTCCTCGACGGTGGCGCCCATTGGCGGCGGTGGCTCCTCGATTGCGTCGGCGGCGCCACTGGATTTGAGCTCTCAGCCGCCGGCCGCCAAGCGTTTTAAGTCCGAGCGACGGGCCAGCTCCACAGCTACCACAGCGACAACGGCAACCACTGGCTCATCTGCATCCACACCATCCCCGCCACCGTTGGAGCAGCACGACGAGATCAATTCTGGCATCGCCAACGCGGCAATGGGAACGGGAACGGGTGAGGGTATTGCATCTGGATCGGGAACGGGATCGGGATCAGGAGCTGGCAAGTCCCGAAGACGATGTCAGGCGCAGAGCGAGGAGGTTAACTCGTGGTCCGTCGACGATGTGTGCGGCTTTGTGGGCGGCATTGATATATGCGCCGAATACGTTCAGGTAGGACAAACCAAACACACCATTCTCCCTTTCAGCCCATTTGCAGTTGATTAAGCAAAAAGAGATTCGCCGGAGAAAGGAGCCTTTTGGCTGCTACTAATTGAGTTTTATGGCCCAGCTGGCAGGGGTAAATAAATTGGACCTCAGAAAGTACAAGAGGTTGGGTCTGAAATCATTACTAAGCCATTTTGACTCTTTGTTAAAAAGTAGTTTTCGGGTAAAATGTTATTTCATTTAAAACGCTAGAAATATTTTACAAACACAAAACATACATTCTTTGAGATACTAAAAATAATACTATTAATTTGGCCAAGAAAATCATGCGCTTATTATGACAAAAATTAAGTTACGAAGTCAAAAAAACTTAAGATAAAATTCTTATGTTTTCCCCCAAGTGGTTCAGCCATATAAAACTGCTAGCCCTAACTGACATTTACCTTTTGGACACTGAAAACCTTTTGGAATCGAAGAGTGGCATTCCTTAACCCATTCCAGGAGTCAAAGTTCATTTACCCAATGGCAGTTCGAAGATCGTTTATGTTTTGCTGATTCTCTGCCGAAAACCGAACGAATGTCGAACAGCCAAGATAAACTATGTTTTGGGATGTTTGAACTCACCATGGTCGGGTTGAACTCTCTGGCGGCCATTAATATTGTGCCACGCGAGCTTCGGCCTCAAACATAGACTCCCAGATCCCCAGGTACGAGTTGCGTTTGGCCAAGTTCGAGAGGAAAATGCTCCACATAGGCAGCTTTCGGCCTGGCCAGGTGATCTTTACGACCAGTTCCGGCAAGTTGAACGACTTTTGATCGGTCGGTCAGCCTGGGCCGGCTCTTGCTCTGGATCTGGCTTTTCCCCCTGGCTTTTGGCTTTGGCGTTGGCTCTGACTGGCTGGCTTTTGCGGTCGACGATCGGTCAACGTCAGGCATCATTACCAGACCCAGTTCAGGATCTGCACAGCGCAAAAGGCCCCAACTTCACAACGCGCGTTAATGGAGTGAAAACATGGCCTAGGCTCGGCTCGGCTCGGCTCGGCACGGCTTAGTTCAGTTCAGATCGACCGGGGAGCTAACAATTAAGCCGGAATGGCCAGTTGGCCAGGACCCAGAGCTCTAGAGGTGTTGACACATTTTGATGCATATTAGCCCGCTTGCAGATGGGGCCTTGAGAGTCGTCTAATTAGCACGCCGAAAGCGGCTTAGCGTGCATTCAAAGATGAACTAAATCTGCTTAAAAAGAAAAAAAATAATAAAAATAAAAATAAAAACATATCTGGCAAACTGATGATGATGGAACCAGTTTCGAGGCCGACTTTGACTCCTCCCCGAGGTTTGCGATAGACAAAAAGGCAATTGGCGTAATATTCAATTGAATTTATGGCCACAACGACACTGGTCGCTGGTCGTTGATCGTTGGTTGTTGGTTGTTGCTCGCTGGTTGTTGCTCGCTGGTTTTTGGTTGCTCTTGGGCTCGGTCTTGGTCGCCTGAACACCTTTTGTGGTGCCGGGGCTGCTGCAGTTGCATGAACTTGTTCCGCCAGGCCAGGCGATAGAAAAGACCAGCCTCGTTTCTGTTTTAGTCTTTTTTTTCTTTTTTTTTTTTTTTTGCTTTTCAGTCTTTTTGTCGTCGTTGTCGGTCGTTGAGATATTGTGGAGGTTGTAAATATTTAGTGCAGAGGTTGACTCTCGCAGGCCGTGGAAATCTATATGAAGACATTGAGAACTGGTTCAGTGACATTGTCCGACGACGACAACGACGATGCGACGACGACAACAACGTTGTCGCATCATGTTGCCGTCGTACGGCAACGGACAGAGTTGCAAGTGTTATTGATATTGCCTCAGTGCGACTCCACCTCCTCCTCCTCTGCTGCTGCGGCACCCCCTTTTTTTTCTAGGAGCACGCATGGGTGGCTCGATCCCTGCCAGGGTTTATTATCGCCAGGGCATTCGCCATAAAAATGCAGATGAAGTCATAAGTTGGACCCATCCTCTCTGGCTCTCATTCTGGTTTGGCCAACGCAGCAGGATGCGATATTTTCAGCATTTTAAATGTTCAGATTTATGGCTATATTAAAGCACAATAATAATTTCTATGCGTGATCAGCGACACGAGCTGCGGGACTGTGCCTCAGCCCATCCCCTGCGCTTTAAATACGCCCTCCCTTTGCCACAAATTGCCATGAATTATTCGCTGATTAAGTGCACTGAGGTAGCAGGTGGGTTGGCCCTCTGGAATGCGAGGCAGCCTACGAAGGAGGCTAGAAATCTAATCGATAGAAGATGGCTAGACCACCGAAAAAGATTTAAGTTAAGGTTCGTTGGGCTAACCAAACAAATTGATATTCAATTATGATCTTAATTAATTTTAAATTGATTAATTAAGAAGTGACTATCATTAATGTGATTGTCCGGTCTATGATTACGCAGGAACACAAATTAAAACTTTTTGAAATTTCAACGAAATATTTGTACTGTTTTCTAAAATATTTTTCCGATGTTTGGAGATATTTTTATTATGTTATCCCACATATTTAAAATTGTTTTGTTGAAAAAGCTCCTTATACACCACCGCAATAAACAAAAAATGTCCGACTTTAACCATTGAACTTCATACAAAGTTTAAACCTCTGTTTTTTATAGAATTTTTCCAATTCTTTTAAAAAATACATCTTAAAAAAAAACTATTTGAATTTCGCTTGGAATCTACAATACTCGACAAAACATGTTAAATGTATTATTTCTGAATAATTTGAAAAGCACTTACTTATTTCTTATAGCAGTTCATTTCCTCCATTTCAAAAGAGTCTAAGCAACCTATAATGTTTATGACTTTTTAAAATTAAAAAAAATATGCTTGGTAAATATATTATAATTATAATTAATATATTTAACTTAATATACCCTCTTGGCGAAGTGTTATTGAATTGCAAATACAAAAAGTTCCCTTTCAGCAATAAAGATTACCAATAAATAAATAAAAAAAAAACCAATAAATAAAATAAATATTTGCCAATTTCAAAGACAAGGTAAAATTGAATGGAGGTCTACGGACTGCCATTAAAATTCGCCTTAAAGCTTAACCCCTTTAACTTATCAAAGTTCACAATCAAGCCATTACCCAAATCTTATTCTGATTTCTAAAGAAACTGAAGATGACGAATTTGCAAATTGAGGCAAGACAAGCACCCCGGCAAACATCTACAAAACTCATTTGCCTTGTCAATCTATCAGCATTCCGCCTTGAACTTATTTGGAGCGAATTAGTTTCTGTCGGTTAATGACAGACCAGGAATGTTACCCCTTTCGGCCCAAAAAAAAAAAAAAACAAGTTCGGGCCCAAACCGAAGCTGTCAAAAGAAGTCAACGCAGCAGCGGCCAACGCAGTGCCAACGAGAGTCTTGAACCCGAAAGAATCCTCCGCTTTTGGGCCACCATCTCCATCTCCATCTCCAACTCCGTCTCCTCCATCTGGGGGCGCAGTGTACTCGCAGTTGTGATCTCTGGCACCGGAGCTCTCCTAGTACTTATTGTATTTGACATGCCAAATGCCAAAAGTACACGTAGGCGTCACAAGATTCATGACTGGAGCGAGTTGACTTTGCCTGCTTGCCCACGATCACTGGGATCTCTTTTGGATCTCTGGTTCGGTTCGGTTTGGTTTGGCTGGCGTTTTTTTTTTTTTCTCGATTTCGTGTCGTTCTGTCGGTGGTGGTACATACACCAACGTGTTATTGTTGCCTGGGTTCACATAAATGTCAAGCATCGGTAACATGGAGATCAACTCCGCAGCTCTACATTTTGCACCGTGGCTAACGCCCCCGACAAAAAAGTAATAAGAAAAAAAAAAGCGAGGCAAACTATGTATGTCTCCAGTTCCCCTCCCCTTTAATCCGTTTCGTATGCATTTCAAAGTCGACCCTATTATTAGGCATAGGGTTTCATCGTTGGAGTAAACATAAACAACGACTGCAAATCCACGTAGTCATCATCATCATCATCGTCATCGTCATCGTCATCGTCTTCGTTGCAGTTTCATATTCAGCAAAAGTCAAAAGCAACGGCTAGGCTCGCACTTGTCACTTGAGCTTGGGCCTGGAGGTCTCCATTCCCATCTACAAACATTCGATTAGATGTACCCCCTGCCCCCCCTGCCACTGTCCCCTGCCCCTCACTCACTCCCTTTCTCATTATTTGTTTATCTTAATTCGTATTAAAGTTAGATTTTTTATCGCACAGTCAACTCGTTACTTTGGCTAAGGCCGGGGCACCAAGTCCGGCTCCAAGTCTCGACTTTGGAGTTTGGTGCTTGGAGTTTGGAATTGGTTTGGTCCCCCGTTGGAGTGCAGCCTTCTCATCCATAACTGTCACATGGCTGACTTAAGTTTTATTTATTTTTATATTGGCCTTTTGGCCAGGCACTCTTGTGGCTAACTGCGACCCAGGTCCCCGCCATCTTTCCTTTTGGTCACATCTCTCTCTCGCCCGCCTCAACTTTTCAAAGGGAAATGCACCTCCGTTTGGTTTTGGAAATTGATTTGGAAAGTTGCATTAAAAGGCAATTTGTTGGTTTCTCGTCGAATGTGTGTGAGTGCGGCGAAAAGTGTTATGTGGCCGCTGAGTTGGGGTTTTTCTTCTTTCTACAGGAAGTGTGACGAGGCGTTATGCGCCAAAAAAAAAAAACAAAAAAACAAAAATTGAAATTAAGTTTCGGTTAAGCCGACTGACAGAGATGTGAAAGAAAACTTCAGTTGTTGAGTACAAGTTGTGATGTAACTGGAAAAGATTTGATTGAGTTTTAATTTGTTTAGATGAAAAAATCCCCGATTGAACTTTATTGATGGGAATCCAATCTTTTGCAGCTTAGGTTCAGTCAAATACGTATAGTTTGTAATGGTCTTGATTTTTCATAGAAAATTAAAAATGTAGCTTGTAATTTGATTATATTGCGTAAACTCTAAATGGTCGTCTTGATTTTTAAAAGGCAATTGAGCATATAA